TATTACGTCATCTAGTTTTTTAACTCAGTCTTACTTTAGTTGCTGTCTGATTAACTTTGTCTCTATACTACATCATTCTTGTATTAACTAATCAATTATCTAAACTTGACAAACCTCATGTACACACACACACACACAAATATTTATATATAAATGCGATTGTACAGCTATGTGAATGAATTCGCCGAAAAGAGTCTCTTCGCTGAATGTCTTCTTTTTTTCATACAACTGGTAATTTATACACATAAGTATAAAACTTGGGCACTGTGGTAGAGTATAACTCCATTGTGGATAAGATTTTATTTTGATAAATCACACAGTGTTATGCCATAAGTAATATTAACTGATGACCACGTTTCGAGCACAAACTATTGCTGCTCATAATCATATCAAATCACTCACACAACTTACTTGCCTCATTTATATAAATGAGTAAAAATTTTGATTTGACACTAGTAACTAGTGTAATGCTTCTAGTCCTCCCTTTGGTGAAGACTGAATTCCATCAGTCAATGAGTAAAAATTGATGATTAGACATTTGAATAAAATCAACAGTATAGGATAATGTACATTCAGAAATAATAATATGAGTGTTATAAATCGAATACAATGAGATGGGAAATAAGACGAGTGTTTTTAAAGTCAAAATAAGTAACTTGTTAGAATGTTGTGATGTGCTTGAATTGGAATAGAATTTTAAGATTATTTATTATCCTCCTCTGATTTGACTGGCCCCGAGAAGATGAGCAATTGAGAAAAAAGCTCAGCGATTGCACTATATGCATTAAGACACAACCACACAAAATAGGGTGGGAGAGGGTTAAAATTCTAAGAAGTAATCTATGTCGGTGGAGAGAGAGATTGATTACTGAATCCTGTCTGGTTCATTAAGTCTACATCCAACACATGCAACAGAAATGACTCAATGCAAATATCAGAAATAGGGAAGATATTATTACCACCAGTCATTTCCAAACATGTATATAAATGAAGGAAAAGTTGTGTGAGTAGTGTCTTGATACGATTATGAGTGGCAATAGTTTGTGCTCGAAACGTAGTCATTAGTTAATATCACTGTATAACAATGTGTGATTTATCAAAATAAAATCTTATCCATGATGGGGTAATTTATACAGTTTCAGGAGGTGAAACCCCATCACAGTTAGTTTCCATTGGAAACCGAAATTATTCAGATAACACAAAATATGTGATCTGCATGATATCATGAATGGTAATCAAGAGAGTAGGCATAACTGGATGGAACAGCTTTTACACCCACTGATTGTACACTACTCATATCATCCAGTAGTGCTTGCTAGCCAGATAAACGAAGTGATTTAAGCACTGGACAACCGTTTCGCTCGTTTGGGGCAGAGTCGAACTCATTCAGCAAACTACTACTCATCTCAATTGAGCAGTAGTATATAGCTTCAATCAAAAGACACATTAACAATGATAGCATGTATCAATCAATCAATCAATAAAAAAAGAAAGTCACATGGAGAAAAGTTCAGCTTTCAGATCAACAAAATAATCAATACCAATACAAGTGGACTAAACAGTGAGAAAGTCTCCAGATACAACCAATCGCGTTTATGTATACGAGAAGAGATGGGTGGATAAACACTCATGGAGAATTCTAAAATCTCACTTTAAATTGAAGTACGCGCTGAAGATGTTGTTTAGAAAGACAAACAAAACACTCACAAATTAAACCATGTAGCTCAGGAGACACAACTATACAGGCAAGAATAAAGAATAGACACCAAAGTCAAATGACCTTTAACCGACTAATCAGATCTTTTATCATTCATAACGGATGCTGTTCATGAACTTCGTTGCAAGTTTCACTCAGATTTGGTTGTTGACTTCCGTGTGGAAAGTGGGTTGATAGGGGGAGGTCTAAAACCTGAATATATGGAGAGATAATGACGCTGCAAAAATATTGCCGGCCTATTGACGGCTACGCATTCAGATGCAACCACTGTTATGTGAGGAAGTCTGTGCAAGTTGGTGATTTTTTAGATACTTTCTTCTCCAAATCGAAACTGTCCTCTAGTAAAATATTGCGTATATGCCACAATTGGCTACTAAAGCGACCAGTATCTGCTACAGCTGCAGAAACAGGGAATACAAAGATCTCAACAGTGCAGTGATATCACTACTGCCGTGATATTGCGTCTCATAAGCGAAATGGGATCACCTCTGTACTTCGGGGATTTGGCATCGTCGTGCATATTGACGAAACTGTACTTAAAAAGCGAAAAATGATGAATCGTGGAAGGAGTAGAGCGAATCATGTTTGGGTGCTGGGGCTTTACGACACAAAACTTCGTAAAGGGTTGTTAGTAGAACGCATCCCGAACAGAAGTGCTGATATCTTAATACCAACTATACAACGACTAGTCCTCCCAGGAACTACTACCATTCACACAGACGAATGGAGAGGTTATTCTCAATTATCATCACCAGGCTATATTCACCACAAAGTCAACCATTCTTCTGAATTGGTGGATCCTGTAACAGGAAAACATACAAATTCCACTGAAGGATTTTGGGCTCACCTCAAAAAACGTATAAGAACGGTAAACGGTTCCCGAAATGATATGGTATATAGCCGTTTAGATGAGTTTTTGTACCAAAATTGGTTTAATATGTCTACAACTACTCCTATGAGAAACTGGGACCAGTTTTGCAGCATATTAGGGACACTAATCCTGTATAATTCATTTTTATTATATATATTACAAATACACTTAATTTTATGCCACTTTTTGACTGAAAGAATCTGATTGGTTGTTTTAAGGTCGTCTGTAGTTGGTGCCTATTCTTTACTGTTGCCCTATACCAATAAATTCAAAATTAACTTACAGCAAAAAACGCCGTAAAGAAGGAAAATTTACCTTTGAAGCTCGAGACCAAGCTTGATCAGCTAACCGCCGACGGACAAGTATACTATCTCGACCGTTCAAGTCAGGAACTGGAATTGGCCAACGAGGTATTCCAGGAGAAGAGTTACTGACTTCCGCCTTAGATTTTGGTAGATATGGTAGTAGAGATGCTTCTAATTCTAGAAACACAGGTGCTACATCACGTGTTACTATGGTTAGAGCTATTCCTCTTTGACCAGCACGTGCAGTTCTACCAACACGATGTCTATACGTTTTCTCAGATAATGGTACATTGTAGTTTATAACAAATTCCACATGAGGAATGTCTAGTCCCCTGAAAATTGAAACATAAAGGAAAAATTATTTGTCAATATAGTGAAAAATGGCGAATGATTGAGGATCTATGGACTAACTATGCGCTTTTACATAATCAGAAAGTGAGATCACTTGAAAATCAGACATACACTACACACTGACGAGTTCCACCGAAATTTGATGAATTCATTAAATCCTGCTTTATTAACCGTTATTGCTTGTTTTAAAATATCTTGTATTCGTTGGATTTACGCCGTACTATAACTGTTAACTGACATGAAGTACTTTTGAACCTTAAAATTTTAAAAATTTACACAGACAGTCAACTCACTCTCTGTTCCTAAAGCCAGCACCTCGGGGAGCACGTTTATTTGCATTTATACCTCACATACTCGTATTCCATTGGACCGGATGGATCTTTTCTACTTGAATCAACTCGATACGATATGTTGGATTCCTTTCAAATAAATAATGAACAACTGAGTTAGTATTCAAGTGTTGGTTTGTAGGGATTTGATTGGTTACAGGATTTTCATCATGAGCTGACATTAGTTAGAGAACCATTGGAAAACCTGGGAGTACTGGACAGAAAAGAGTCCCAAACTAGGACGAAACCGCTGTCCAGTACTCCCTGGTTTTCCAATGGTTCTCTAACTAATGTCAGCTCATGATGAAAATCCTGTAACTTAGTTAGTACCTTCATAAATGCGTCTAAAACTTCCTTGAATTGTATCCATGCATAAAATACACAGCAGAGCATTATCCTTTTGAATATAGCTGTTCCATCACACAATATAGATGACACATTTCGTGAAGTAGAGGTAGTAGTAGGAGTACTTCGCAACATCATTCAATGGTTTTAACGATTCCTAACGTGCACAAGACAATGATTTCAAGTAAATGAACAATAGTATGTATTTCATTGTTGATATACCACTGTTGTGACCTAGGTAATTTACTTGATTTATGCTAACGTAGTATGCACAATTCCCACAGGTCATTAAACTGACAACTTAAAAAGTGGATCAGTTAATACATACATATATCTATATGTCCTAATTAAAGGCACATTAAATGTTTAGATATTGTAGTTGAATTATATTCGCCTAGTAAGCAAAAATGCATACATCCTATTTTAGAAGTAAAATAAATGTATCCAAATTATTGTTGATTTATATTCACTTACTAGACATTCTCATACATCTCAATGTATTTTAAATACCACCATTGCATCCAAATAGCGTGTGACTGTCACACTACACTCACACCAAAAAAATTAACAAGCCGTTATATTATGGTAAGGTAAGCCTTAAATTAAACTGACTGTAAATTTCCGTGTCAAAATAAAAAGATTGTCGCTTTAACTTATATTTTAGACTAAATAAGAAGCCAGCTAGTCAACAGCCGTGCGTCGGTGGCATAGCGGTTAGGACTCTCGCCGACCATGCACATGGTCCGGGGTTCGATCCCCGGCCGACGCACTCCTTTACCTCACTAAACCGGAAATAAAAGCTGGTACAGACGAAAGGTTGGGCATGAGGCTAGCAACCCCATCCTGTAAAAATAAACACTGCTACAGAAACTTCAAGCCTCTAGCTTGAAGCCCTATGTTCCACTGGGGACGTGAAGGAATAAATAAAAATAAATAAATAGTCAACAGCCAATTAAAATCTGCCTAAATCTATTTTCTCTGTCTTATTCGTTCATGTGTGTTAGTTATTTTCTATATACTTTTGTATTGAAGAGTTAATTCACTCTTTCGTACTTTTCCACTCACACTCTTGTGTGACAATTAATTTTCCTTGTTTGGAAGTGCACGTATCCATTCGTGAACGTGAGGGTCTTCTGATTTTCCTCTTCGGGTCAGGGTTATCGTCCATTATATCTTGTTAGCCATATTTACACTTGGTCACACCATAACAATAATACACAGTGAAACTTTTTGCACACCTGACTCTTTTGGTGATCAACTTAACAGCACCAAAGATGGCTAAGATTAGCACATGCAGTTAGCACTGGAGATGTTATCGAAAGGGACAACGAAAGCTTTGCAGTTAAACCATCCAGCTGGGAAAATTCAACATTACCACGGTAATATTATGAGCAGTGTGGAATAGTTTTGTCATCCATTTGGATTAGGTGAGTGAATATATAAATTACCAATATGAAACTTAGTACAGATAATGAATTTTATGTCTTATAGAAACAAGAAGCAAGTTTTAACAGAGCTGTCCTGTAGTATTGATCTAGTTGTATACTCATCAAATTACGAGGGTAGTTATCACTGAAGTTCGTGTGTTTCGAGTAATTTCAATGATCAGGTATACTTGAATGTACGAAATTATAAGCTATAAATGTTATATATATATATATATATATATATATATATATATATATAGCTTACTGACACCACCAGCGTTATCACACTTTACAGTAATTACAGTGTTGCGAAAATAGCTCAACGATGATTAAATAAGTGACATTTCCGGCTAGTGACCATTTTCTCTTGAATTTTCTGACTTTTCGAATAGTAATTCACATGAGGAAGTATATCCTTTGATAATACGAATGGCAGTTAGCATTCCTTGTAGTCATTTGAATTGTAAGGAATATGAAACACCTAATCAGTTGTCGATCAGTATCTGTAAGTATGGAATGTGCTTTGCTATGTCTAAATGCAAAGTACTGTAACAACATTGGCAGGAGCTTGTACCTTCACTCAATCCTGCAGGTAAACCACTTGAAGTTGTCGATAAGTTAGTGTTTCTAGATAACTGTGTGAGTGGTCGCGGTGTGACGGACGAGATTTCTAACCGTATCATGAAAACTAGGGTGGCATGTGCCAATTTGATCCACCTCTGGGGCCGTCGCGACGTTATTATAGCTGTCGAGGGTGGTCGGGTACACAATGCCTCAGTGCGCTCTGTCTTGCTCTCTAAGCCTATGAAACCTGGCCTCCGAGTTGAAGATGTGCGGTGACTCTACGTATTCTATCATTGTCTCCCTCGTAGAATTGCTTGTGTTCGGCGGCATCATCGTGTGACGAATTCTGAGGTTTGACGGCGTGTGTTTGGACACAGTGGAGATCACCATTTGTTAAGTGTCGTCATCTAGAAACACTGGCTTCGGTGGCTTGGACATATGCTAAGAATTTCATTCCAGAGGTTTCCATGCTGGTCTCTGTTCGCTAGCCGTGGGACTGACTGGATGGAAAAAGCAGAGAGGTGATCAGCCTACGATGCGGCGTTGTGGAATCAAGGATATTTGTGGTAGGTTAGCATCGGTTGGGGTCCGAGAGACACTTCGAATCGGTGGCTCGAAACGTTTTCGGATATTGCCAAGAATCGTAATCACTGGTGAACACGCTACAATTTGCTTCTTTCTTCCCTTTCCGACAGTAATTCGCTGAGTGTTTTTTTTATCTTGTTAAATATGGTTCCTTCCTTTCTTGATGAAGTCTTCTGTTCATTCTCGCCCTCTTCGGTTTACATATTGTTATCTTACTATGATTGTGTGGCGCATCTTCTTAGTGCCTGTATTGTACTAAACTGAATGTAATACAAACTGGTCACTCTAATTTCACACGTCCACAAACGTCAACACGACAAAAGTTATATCAGCTGTTATAATATGATACTCTAATTGTTAAGTGATTAGGAGCAATCAGCAGGAAGCCCTGAACTTCAGTTTCGTTCTGGTTGGCAGTCACCAAGGCGTATCTACAATCTGGAAGGAACTCGTGCCTTTGGAGATCCGAACCCGTGTCACTCAGTGCTGTAGCCTGTGAGACGTTACCACTGAGCAGTTTGATCTCGCGATTAATCTCCTGCAGGATTGTAATGAATACCATGGTTGGCCGCTAGGTAATAATCAGTGTCAAGCCTTCACTCCTTGGGTTGGTGCAGAGAGTATGCAATGTGGCTTAGCTCAGTATTAACGTCTCTGAGACTGCAGCACTGGATGACACAGGTTCGAATCTCAGAAGGGACATGAGTTCCTTCGAGGCTTCAGATACGCCTCGCTGACTGGTGAGTGCTGATAAGCACACATGATTGGACGTGGGCGTGTTAACTGGAAACTCAAAGCTCAGAGTCCTGTGTTCTATGTGGAATGTGGAGGAATGAAAAGAAAGCAAACGAAAGCGAATATAAAAGAAGCTGTCTTAGGCATAAGTATACAACCAATAAGTATCTGTCTCTACCTTTTGCTTCTTAATTCCTGGAAAATCCCCGTTTGGGACATATGGAAACTCGAAAGAAGCGATTCACTGAAGAGACTCGTTTCAAGGAATTTATTATCAAGCCGTACAATTGTATATATATGGTTTTTTATATTCAGAAACTTTTTCCTTTGAGCAAGTTGAAACAAACGTGTAAATACATAAAATAATAATAGACTTCGTTGCTATTAATTCTTTTTGGCCATTTGATCCTCATTACGCAGTCAGCAAGAGCAGCTGTTGATAACAGTCTGCAACCTGTTAGAAATGCTTCTACTGACACAGTGCAAGTTTCTGATCCATATAAAAGAACTGACTTCACATATGTGTGTGTGTGTGTTGATAATCCAAGTCTTGTTCTTTATGTTGAGTGCAGGAGATTTCCAAACTGGTTTCAGGTTGATGAAGGCGTATCTCGCCTTTGCGATCCCAGCTTTGATTTCCTCATTCATTCCACCTGTAGTTGAAACGATGCTTCCTAGATAATTGAGGTAAGTACCCGATTTCAAATTTCTCCCATTGATAGTGATCGATGCTGTTTGTTGTCGCTGTTGGTTGGCTTTCTTTATCAACTTCGTCTTCTCTGTGTTCACCAGAAGGCCATGGCATCGCTGCTTCTTCAGCTAATTTGTTGATTTTCATCTGTAAGTTTTCAAGTTTGAGTGACACTCGAAGTGGACGGTAGACAGACAGCCATTTAGTCACTGACTGTGGAGTATTTCACTACCTAGAACTGTAAGGTTCATTAGCATGAAAGTTTACGCCTACGTAGTATAACTTGCTTAAGTTTGTTTTGAATCCGGTAGCCTGACTGATCAATGAATGAAATAATTTAATAATTCCTATTGTGACATTAGAAACACAATATTCAGCTAAAAGACTGTTTTCAACGAATCTATTATCAAGCTGTACAATCGTATATGTGTATGACTTTTTAATAAATTATATTCTGTGAGATAATTTAAACAAAGGTGTGAATACCTAAACCAATAATAGTCTGAAATACAATTAAAATGTTTGTAATTATGATTACAGTTAAATATCACATGGTAAAACAAATAATCACATGTATAGAATGGTTCATAGGATGTGTAGATGTTGGAAGGGGGTGCATAATTATAGGGTTGGTAGAGCACTGGCTGACATGCTCGTGGTCCGGGGTTCGAGTCCCGACCGGCGCACTCCTTTACCTCTCTTAGCCGGTCAGATCCCCGACAAGAAGGGAAGGTTGGGTGTGTGAGGTTAGCAACCTCACCCCGTAAAAACACCACTGCTACTGAAACTTCAAAGCTAAAGCTTGAAGCCCCCCCCTATGTTTCACTCGGAACGCAAAGGGATAAAAAACGGCAAATGTAAGAGTTTACATAACATCATATGAAAGTTGATAGGATAGAATTCAGCGTTGCAAACATTTTTTTGATTTAGAATGACAAGTGGGCCAAGTGTAAACAAATCAAAGTGAGAATAATAATCGTAGTAATGAGGCAAAGGTAGCATAGATTGACTGAATAAACAAAAGAAATAAAAATTAATAATAATGAAAATAAATAAATAAATACATAAATGTGTCTATCTGTCTACAGCCAAGGCAGAAACCGGGATTGTACATATCTCTTTTTCCCACTAAGGTTTGGCTTAAATTCGTAAATAGCCAGCGCCTCTGCTCTCCTTAAAAGTTTGCAACGAAGAAAACGTGGCAATTTAGCGTGAATTCGATAGATGATCTAAGAAAAATCATGGTCAGGGTTGGTATAGTGACAGAAATCGATCAAGTGTTCTAGAATAGAGCTTCGCATCTCCTTCCCTTCTCCCTGGTAAATCATGCTGGAATATGTTCTCGTATCGGTGTGGGGAGCGTTCTGTGGCTACATATGTATATGATTGTACAGCTTGATACTGAATTTATTGGAAAGTTTCTTCACTCAGTCACTTGTTTTGATTTTGGTTTTCAGTCATACTCATTACATGAACCTCGGTGGGTGCGTACTGATAAAGAGTCCCAAACTAGGCTGACGAAACAGCTGTCCAGTACTCCCTGTCGGTTTTCCAATGGTTCTCTAACCAATGTCAGCTCTTGATGAAATTCTGTAACCAATCAATCATATCCCTACAAGCCAACATTTGAATGTTTTATATTAAAAACTAAAGTTGACTGAGAATTTTGTTTTCTAACCATCCATTTGTTAATATGGTTCCATGTTAGAAAATACTCCCTCTGAATGAATCAAGTTACTATTGTGTATATGCTCTGTATATGAAGTATGATTTCAACATTGTTTCAAACATCTACTTTCATGTTATTTGTTTAACTTTTTCATGTATGTATATATTTTCAGTCTATCATTCGTTCTGGATTAATGCTCCTGGAGTCATTATGTGGTTCAGATGCATGTAAACGATCTATTGCTAATTGGTCACTTCATGATGTGACTGGTCCACAACTTATTATCGATGTATATGAAGGCCATATCAAAAATCCTATTGTTGTAAGGTATGCAGCTGGTGTAGTTGCCGCCATCACTCTACGACAACCTGATCTTGGCAAATTGCTTGTTGAAGCTGGTGTATCTGCATATCTTATTAAGGTATATTTCTTCGTTTATTAGAATTTTAAGGTATATATGTGACTATAAATATTTGGGTAAATGTTTTTGGCATTTCTTGTTGCTGTTATTGTTATTGTTAGTTTTAGTATTTGAATAATAACAAAATAGTTTGAAGAGATGTATATGTTTAATGTGTTTATTACTTTATGTGTGCTTGCCTTCATAATATGGAGAGGTTAAATTTCAAGCACCAGAATATTAACGGACAAATGACCAATCCCATTAAAAAGGCGATTTCTACGTATAACATATATTATCATATATAAGAGAAATTATGGCTAGAGAGGCACTTGGATAGATGAATGGAAATGGAGAACTCTTCGCCGATTTCTGCGCCTTCAATGAACTAGTGATTGGCGGTAGTGTATACAAACACAGGGATATCCACAAGGCTACATGGGTGTCACCAGATAGGGCGAACCAAAAACCAAATCGACTTCATCTCAATATACTGCTCAAGGAAGTGGAGACGCAGCTTACTGGACACGAAAGTAAGAAGAGGAGAAGACGTTGGCTTAGACCACTATCTCGTACAAGGGACAATCCAAATCAAATTGAAAGCTTTCAAAGAAACAGGAACTGCAGATAGACCACAAGCCAAGTTCAATATTCAAAAACTAAAGGACCAGGATACAAAGGATATCTTCACTGCAATCGTTAGGAAAAAGGTGGAGACACATATCAACACTGGCGAAGAGACCAGTGTTGAAAAGCACTGTAAGAGCCTGAAAGCGGTATGGAATCAAACCTGCATGGAAGTTCTGGGCAGAAGGAAGAGACAGGACAAATAGTGGCTCACTACGGACACATGGAGACTAACAGAAGAGAGAAGGATGGTGAAACAAAAGATTATCCAGTGCATTGACGAGCAACAAAAACAGGAGTTGACTGCAAGCTACAATACACTGAACAAAAGAGTAAAGAAGAGTCCCAGGGAAGACAAAAGAAAATATTATGAAGCTATGGCAAGTGAAGCAGAACAAGCTGCAGTGCAGGCAAAGGAGACCTCGCAACACTCTACCACGCAAGTAGGTTTCTATCGGGGAAGAGACCAACACAAATTAAGCCAGTGTAGGGTGACAATGGAAATTCAATCACCAAAGAAGTGGAGCAAAGGAAACACTGGGCTGAACACTTCAAAAGACTTCTAAATCGACCGCTACTTACAACGCGCACAATAATACCAACAACGGAAGCAGAACTACCAGTGGACATCAACCCTCCGACGAAAACAGAAATCCTGAAGGCCATTAACATGCTAAAAGCTGGAAAAGCAGCAGGACCAGACGGAATCCCCACAGAAGCATTGATAATGGACCCAGAGACATCAGAGGACTTGATGACACCACTACTGGAGAAGGTGTGGAAAGAGGGCAGGGTACCTGTGGATTGGAGACTTAAGTCAATACAAGAACTGGCGCGGTATTACGCTCCTGTCTCTCCCAACTGCTGTCTGCCGTATTAGATGGTACTACCATTGGTTGAGTAGGATTGAGGTTAGGGGTTGAGTGTTGGGTAAGGGGTGAAAGTCAATCGAAGGCGTTGTAAAGCTACATCGATTGGGATGGCCAGGACGTGCAACGCACGCCTAACCTACACCTTCCTCCACGGAGAATGTTAACTGGAATAAGATCAAATTGGAAAGTAGCTCTTGGTGGTCAAACAACAACTTGGAATCAGCCCATGAAATCTTTGACAGTTAGTTTGAGTGTAGACTCGTTGGATGAGGTCCTCGGGATTCAAAGAAAAAATTGGTGGAGACGGTTGGTGATAGTGCTCAAAAATGTCCTCAATAGCGAAGATACTTTCATTCCTTGTGATCTGTCATATCGATTAAACCCTATTGTGGTTGCATGTTACTATTCAGACTCCTTCACATTCCTGCTTATTGTCATTCTTTTGAATCTTTTCTCTCTCTTTCTGCTTCTATCCTTTGTCTTTTTTGTGTGTTACATGGAATGTGGCAGCTCGAACTGCTGCACATCTGTGCAAGCTGGTCTCTTGAAGGCATTACTAATTCTAAGTTAAAGAGTTATGTACAGTTTAAAAATACACAGAATTCTTACCTTTCGCACTTGTTATTCATCACACGGCTGGTTATAGGTTTTCTGTAGACTAAATTACATTGTGCGTCGGTGTTTAGGCGGTAGGAATGCTCATCAACCGTGCAAATGGTCTGGGGTTCGATTCCCAACCTTGCCTAGCCGTTCGTGAAGCTGGTAAAGAGGGAATGTTGGATGTGAGATTGGCAACCCCACTCTCCGTAAAAAAAAACACTACTGCCACTGAAACTTCGAAGTGGAAGCTCAAAGCCCTATATTCCACCCGAAACGTATGCAAAGGTGTAGTGAAAACCATGAACAGTTCGATATTGAACCATCAAGTGCAAACCGGCCACAAAGCCAGCCAGCGTTGAAGAATCCTTCTCTATAATCTACCGGGTGCCTAATAAATTGCCAAAAACATCGAAGCACTGCATGCTCCAAACAGCAGAGGCTATTGCAATTCACCTCAAACAACCAGTGCTCTGTGTGCAAAAGAAGCAAGTCCAGCCACTACTACTGCCCTGACTGGCCTTCAGTAGAGACTAGAAATTCATGAATTTGTAATACTGTCTTTCCTAATTTTTCTGACATTCAGTGTGTATTGTTATGTTGGTGCTACTGAGCTATAATCTATCAATATTATTGATTCGATGATATTTAAACAACATTAATGTTGTACATAACACTAATTCATTCATTCACTGTAATGTGTATTTATAACTGTAGAGCCTGATGATGAAGAGGTTATCGAAAAGGGTATTCTTTGTTCAGCATTCATGGTTTTGAAATCTCCTGTATAGTCTGTATCTGAATTGTGATAAAACCACTACTATTATTACCACTGCTGCTGTTTTTTATTGTGTCATAATAATAGTCAAATCTACTTCATTTACTTTGTTTTGTAGACTCTTGATTTGTATATGTCAAACACTACAACTGTTCGAATTGTATGCAGAGCTATACCTAATATTGTCTCAAGATCACCAGAACTACGAACTTCCTTTTTAACATTGGAATATGGTACAGGTGATACTGATCTAGAAAAATTATTGAATGTAGCCCTAAAAAACCCTTCTTGTTGTGATCAAGCTAAAGCAGCTCTTCGTGATCTAAACTGTGCAGTTGAATTTCAAGAACCTTGGAAAGGACCTCTGAAGTCTGTTGTGATGGATAGATAGTATTTGATTTTTGTTATATAAACATTTTTAATAAAATACCAATGAATTACTGACTTGATTTGTATATTTCTTTTACTGTCAAAAAAATAAATAAATGAATTGTGACTAAGTTGTTTTTCACTGAATCCTAATCTACAGTTCATTTGAATTATTTCGGTCAGGAACAGTACAACTGTTTCTGTAGGTTATTCGTTCTGTGACAGGTCACTTTTACTCATAACATCAGGAAGTCATCACTTTCTGCTGTCGCGTAGTTGTAGACTCAATAATCATACGTAGATTAAGTGTTGCTCGGGAGAAGCAAACGGGATAAAAACCAGACAGACTTCAGACCAGGAACAGGGTGTATTGATCATATCTTCGCTCTTTCACAGATTCTGGAACATAGCTATATTTACCGGCGCCCAACAACTGCCATATATCTTGACCTGAAGGTGGAATTCCACTCCGTCAGCTGAGAGGTACTATAGCAACGTTTGGTTGTGAAGGGAGTAGCGAGAAAGTTCATCGCATTTATCAAGGCACTCTCCCTACTCGAGCTCACGCCACCGTGTAAGACCTAACGGAGAGTTATCATCTTAAGTGATGACAACCAGTAGATGTCCATCAGGATACCCACTGTTCCCATTTCTGTTTATTTTCCTTATAGATGCACTAGTGAAATTAACCCTAACTGAATTCAGTGACTCAGGGATTGACTTGTTACCAGGGTACAGTCTCGTTGACTTAGAATATGTGAATGATATAGTTCTCTTAGTTAGAGACTCTGATAAAACTCGGAGTCTTCTGGCCACACTGAGCAGCAATCGTCGAATGTTTGGTATGCGGTCCACTCCTGTCAAATGTAAGATGATGCTACAGGACTGGACTACATCAATTTCTAACTTAAAAATGGAGAGTGAAGTGATAGCATATGTTGACTACTGCACTTATTCGAGAATTTTCCTCAGCCCCAACGGGCTGATTGCGGACGAAATCTCAGAACGGATATATAAGGCTTGTGTGGCATTCGCCAACCTGCATCATCTTTGGCATAGATGTGATAGCCGGATGGCTATTGTGGAAGGACGCGCGTGCTGCACGCCAGTTCGCTCCGTCCTCATTTGTGGATGTGAGACACAGCCATGGAGAGGGGAATATAGGAAACCCCTGGCTAGCTGTCTTTGATAATAGGTGTCTGCGTTCTATCTCTAGTGTTGGGTAGTATAACAGGGTGAAAAATATTGAGGTTAGGCGTCCCAGATATCCTAGCCATCGCCTTCCTCGACGGACAATGTTAGCTAACTTTGAGTCTATTTGGAAAAGAGCTGGCGGTGGTCAATTCAAAGCATGAAATCTTTAACAGTTAGTTTGAGCCAGTCTCGTGGTGAGATGTAGGCTTTCTAGATAATGTCGTCGAGATTCTAAGAACCAATGGCTGGAGATTGTTGATCAAATGACTCGAAATCGTTGTCATGGAGCGGATGCATTCACTCTTTGTCATCTTTCATATCCGCTAAACCCCCATATGTTTTTCCATGTCAGTATTCATTCTCCCTCACATTTCTGCATATTACCGTTTTCTTGAATCTCTTTTGTGAGGCATAGGGGGTATGGCAACTCGAAGTACTGCATTTCTGTACAAAGTTCTGCGTTGAAACGAGTGAGTCAGGCACACTGCTGTCCTAGGCATTAATGTTACAATATAGAATATATACATTCAGAGGACACAATATCTAATCTTTTGATTGTTCCATCCTATTTAAATAACACGCTTGGCGTGTGTAGTGTATGACAGTAATTTCGTCTCGGTGATAATAGGATGGTGCAGTAATATTAGTCAACCAAACGCTTCATAGCTCTTTCAAGCTACTCTATATTATAAGCGGAGTATCTGGATTTCGCCAATCATATATGCATGATTAACCAAAAACTGGAAGATATGCAAGTGAAAAGCAACAAGTCGGCAGAACAAGCATTAACGATAGGATTTCAGGTGAACACAGAGAAAACAGAGGTGATGAAGATTCCTGGTCAACAGCAACCGCAACAACAACAGGCAACAATCAGGATAAATGGGAGGAGTATGAAAGAAGCAACCTCCTTTACCTAAATACCTACCCACTTGGGAAGCATCGTTTCAACTACAGGCGGACGGAACGGATGAGGATATCAAAGTGAGGAACGGGAAAGCAAGACAAGCTTTCATTACTCTCAAGTCTGTGTGGAGGTCAACAGCACTCAGCATGAAAAATAACATCCAGATTTTCAACTCCAATGTGAATTCAGTGCTCCTATACGGATCAGAGACTTGGCTCGTCATGAAGAACACCTCAAACAAACTACAGACCTTCATCAACAGCTGTCTTCGCTCAATACTCCGCTCAAGATCAGATGGCCGGAAAAGATTGGCAATAATGAGGGATCTGTGGGAGCTAACCAACTCAGCAGGAACCAATTGTGCAACAGATATGCAGGAAGAAATTCAGTTGGTGGATTGGCCATACTCTGAGAAAACAAGTCATCAAGCGACATCACACGACAAGCCATCGCTCGAGTAGAACCCTACCGACTGAGAAGCGTCGAGTTGGTTGTCATTGCGAGGGTGACATGGGGAGGTCATGTGAAGAGGAGATGAAAGGATTTGGGCAGACGTGGAGCTTGGTGAAAAAGTTAGCAGAGAACCGAAATCAATGGAGACGTGCAGCTGTAACCCTATGTTCCTTTAGGAACTGAAGGAGACAATAATGATAAAAAATTATAAATTCTTAAGAATGGTGACAACAATAAGTTAATAAATGAAAGAAGAGCCGTCTGATTGCTGTTTCTTGGACACGCTTACTCCACTACTGCAGAAGGTTTAGAAAAAATGCTACCATGTGAAAAAATGCCAAAGCATAGTGACCTACACCGATGCAACAACTGGGAAGGAATAGTGCTGCTGTCTACTCCTGAATAGAATATTAATCCATATCATTTTGGAGTAACTAAAAGGTGTTGTGAGTGCAAATCTTTGACCCAAACAGGCTGGATTTAGGAAAAACAAATGATTTGCTAACCAATTTCCAGCATTATGCATCAGCTTTTTATAGAGCATACAATGCCATTATTCAACACTTCACCTCAACCTCATCCGACAACTTACTCAATCTAAGGTGCATGTTAAAAAAAATACAAACTGGGACTTATTCTATGAAAGTACATTAGATGACACAATTGCCAATATAACGGATTATCTTAAGTTCTACCTTGATATATGCTGTCCCAAACAAACACTATTCAAACGCCTCGACCGCTTCTCGTCTCTTTGTCCCAAACAACATCGCAGGCAAAAAGAAACATTATACACATCCAAAGACAAGTTAGGACTCAAAAAGATTAATGCTTAAATCAAATCTGAAATCCAAAATCTTAATGCTATCTATAACGATACAGTTTTATCATGCAAATCTCCTATCAGCATGTGGAAACTTTTTAATGAAATTACTGGCAACAGTAAGCGTCGTAATGCTTTTCCCTCTTATGATGTTAATGCTCTTAATCAGTCTTTTATACGCTGTCCTTCTACTATATCTACCTCTAATGTTACCTATCATGTAGCTGAAAACTTTCATGACTTTAATGCTCTCGATGTTCTAAAATGTCTTAAAACGCTCAAGCCCTCACGTAGCCTTGGTCCTGATGGTATACCTGCATATGTTCTAAAACAATGTGCAGATGCTTTATGTTCTCTACTAACTAACATCCTAAATGCTTCTTCCTCCAAAAATGTCATATCTGATGCATGGAAAGATATTAAAATTGCCCCTGTCCCTAAACCTAGAAACAGCAAGAACGTAAAGTTCAGACCCATTGCCATCACTTCCCCGTTTCTAAAGCTTATGGAAAAACTAGCACTTCTTAAACTTGAACCCTCCCTTAAAAACTTTGAAGATCCCAAACAATTTGCCTATAGACAGGGTAGGAGCACTTTAGACGCTGCAGCCGTCTTACACAACAGCATCGTCTCATCATTAGATAAAGGTGCCAAATACGTCCGCTGCACGTTTCTCGACTTCACCTCGGCTTTCGACTCTGTACCTAGATGTCACTTGCTAAATAAGCTCTCTATGACAAAAATTGAGTCCTGGGTCACTAACTGGTTGCATTCCTACTTCTCTAACAGAATGCAGTACACCGTATACAAAGGTAAATCCTCCTCTGCTGTACTCACTGAAGCCGGTGTCCCTCAAGGTGCTGTACTCTCCCCACTTCTCTTTTCTTTCATTCTACATGACTTACCATCCTCAAATGACATTAATTTCGTCAAATATGCTGACGACCTGACTGTATCTTTGCCTGTCAAATGCCAAAGTGACTGCTCTAAACTTAATGGCTTTCTGTCAGAAATCAGCCAGTGGTCCAAGGAAAACGGTCTTACCTTAAACCCCTCCAAATGCCAAACAGTCAATTTCACCTGTAGGCCTAAATCTGACCTAAACATACTGGTTAGCTCTCACGAGGTGTGCAACATAGATGGCACTGAAATAGAAACCAAGTCGGAAATCAAATACCTAGGCGTCATTCTATCTGCTGATCTCTCCTGGTCGTCTCATATCTTGGCGATTTCTAAGAAAATATTCCGTCTTACCTCCTACATCAAGAAGTTAAGACAATCTAGTATAACCCAACCCTTACTCCTACAATTCGTTAACTCTCGCATTCTGCCTATTATTCTCCATTGTTCCCCCTTAGTTCTTCCCGGGCTACTGAAGAAAAACTATAACATATTACGCAGGATGTTAAAGGTTGTCAGCAGGGTAAGCAACGTGCCACTCAACCAGCTTGTTAATATTCTGGTCGACAGGCACATGAACTCATGTGAAAAATGGGCCACATCCATTTTATGTAAGTCACACCACCCTCTTCACTCACAACTCTCCCCTTGCATCTCATCAGGTAGAACCAGAAGCCTATATAGAAAACTATATGTTCGCACCAGCAAGTACAAAAGCTCAACCATACCCTACTTAGCTCGTGTTCTGTGTGATAAAGAAAGCATTAGGCGTGACACCTATAAT